GCGACAGAGGTAGAGGCAGCGACAGTCGAAGCGGCAACTGAGCTGGAGATGACTGAGGCAGTGGCGTTGCCGTCCTTGAGGTTGTAGTACTTGATGGAGCTGATCTTGAAGAAAACATCGGCAAAGGCAGTCGGGTTGGCGGCAACGTACTCCTTGCAAGTCATACCAGTCTTCGCCTCACAAGTCTGGGTCCAGATACCATCGTTTCCGGCCACACCGCAGAAGTCGATGTTGGCCACGAGCTTCTGCTCCTCGAACAGCTTGTCAGCGGCGCAGGTGCTGGTGGTGAAGCTGGGCGTGCCCCAGGCATCGGGGTTCGGGTTGGCGCTCGCGATGTCGGCGGGAACGTTGGCGTGAGTAAAGCCCCAGACGCGGATGGCGGTGTCAGTCCATTGCATGGCGTAAACTCCTCCCTCGGCGGATCCAAAGGGGGCAGCGCCATCAAGACCGGCGCAGCCTTCGTTGTCAGACTGGCCTGCGGCATAGTTTGCGCAGTTGGGCTTGCTGATGGTGCCGGTCATGTTCGTTCCGTCGATGCGGCACTCGCCGAGCGTGCCGTCGGTGTGAAGGACGACCTTGTTCACATTGTCCTCGTTCCAGGTCTCAACGATGTCGATTTCGCCGGCAGCGGGCCAGGGATTGCCAACGGTCCAGCTGGTGGTATCTGATCAGCATTATGGATGGGCTGAAGAATGTGAAAGAGACTTACACCGCAGGCCACGCACCGCAGACAGGCTTAGGAAGATGGGAAAAGTTGATGACAAAAAGTCCCTGACCGTACTTGACCGTACTTTCGATTCTTACACTGCTTCTGCCGATACCAGCGGCATCGAGGGTAGATGTAGAGTCGACACCGAGGTACAGGTCACCGCCCTCAGTCTTTACGAGACCCATGCTCTGAGCATCTGCTGCCGACTTGTAGCTGACATATCCACCGGTGGGGTCAACATCGTTGTAGTTCCCGGTGGAGTGGTCGCTCTAGATAGATGATCAGCCAAAGTTCTAATGCATCACTTATCGACTTGGAACATACCGTGAAGAAACCAAACTTCTCAAGAAAGTTGGTCGAGTCGTAGCTGTCGGCGAGTTGATAGGTCTGGACAGCGGTCGCGGATGACGTGAGGAGGAGGGCGGAAGAAAGCGTGGAGAGAAGCGAAGGCGCCATTGTAGGCTAAGGATGGATCTGAGGAATATAAAACTAGGTGGAATAACTATGCAGAAAGACAGAAACTGGAAATATCAAACACAATTAAGAAACGACAGAAATGGGTCTTCGAACTGTAAAGTGAGTGAACAGAATGAAGAAATTCGACAGCTTGTTCTTGAACAAAAGAATGACTTAAGAAATCAGAACAGGAATCTTGAAAGAAGGTGAGAGGGAGGGCCTAGATGCGCAAGGCGCTTGCTCCCATGGGGTTACCATGAGTCTTATACCGACCCGAAAAAGACGGTCGACCCAGATTCGCTCCTGGCCATTCGATTCACCCGCGGAGAGACGGGCTGAGATGCTCAGGGGGGTCTACGACCTACCTGTTTCTCCAGCAATTTCATTCTCATTGGATCCCCTCGTACCGACAGAGCCTTGGTGAGCAGTACCGGGAGCACTGGTTCGTTCAGGGGCTCTGGATGGAGAACGAACTAGAACATACATAGCCCGCTCATCCCCTCGGCCCCTTGACAGACTCTGCCGGTTCTGGAGATATATCAAGGGTCTTGTGCATCGTCTGCCAACATACGTAAGTAATCGTGGTTCCACTCCTCGCATCTCCATGTCTCTATGCCACTTGTGCATTGACATATGCGCTTGTGAGTGGGCACAAGAACATGTTTCCTGCAGGCCCAGAGAACCTCAAACACACCAACACATAAACACATGCGCACTAAGTCCGCATTCGTTCATGGAATGCCAGGAACGGCACGGCGGTTGGCTGGCGGCTCAGGTACAGTCCGCGCAAAGGTGTCGTCGTCCCGAGGCCAATGAAGCGGAGGGCGCATGTGTGTAAGCCCACCCCCTGCTTGACATCCAGGAACAGGCCCTTGATCGGGACAAGGTGGGCTCGAAGTGGACTGCAACGGGGGCCTGATGGTGGTCTGAGTGGATGTCGTGAACATGGTGGATTGTTTTTCTTTGAAGTGACGGGCAGGATTCCGCCGTTCCCCTATTCTTTTTCTCCATTGACCATTCGAGCCATTGTCCAGCGCTAGACAGGGGTTGTCTCACTCAAGCCGCCGAGATCTTGATGGCGCTGGTCGCTCTTGGGGGCGTGATTGGCAAAGATCTCCTGCACCGTTGCATCGAGTTCTCTAGACCAGCGGCTTTTCTCCAAGTCAATATTTTTTTCTCTTCCTCTAGTTCACTTTCAGTGTCTTGCTATTTGTTTCAAGTGATGACAGCTCACGAATAGTCCTAAGTGCCGCCGGTCTTCTTTTAGTTTCGTTACATCAGAGCGACGGACTGTCTTTGGTCATCTGGCCACGCGGCGCGTTAAACCCGTCAAGTTGCCGAGCACTTCCAAGTTTTCCACACCCGTTTACGCAGACCTTTCGGGATTGGAGGGCTCCAACTCCCAGCTTCCAAGGGCAGAAAAAACGTGTCGCTTTGATTGCTCCCGCTCAGGGGCTGAGCCTCCCGCTCCGGAAGTCAACGACCAATCCAGACGTTCACAGGGCTGGTTTCCACGGCGTAGTGGTCGGGCGTCGTATTCGAATCTGTATTAGTGAAGGGGTTCGCCCCGGTGGAGTTACCAAGAAAAAGCGGCACGGTTTTTGGATGTGGATGCCCTGTCTTGTCAACTTGTGTTTCCCAGGTCATGATTTAAGGGCCATTCCATAAGGCGAAGTTGCACAAACATAACAGGTCGTAGCCCAAAATATTCTCAAAGCTAGCTTCCCCAGCCAGCTAGCTTTGAGAACGGGTTTATTTTGCTAATGCTCGACTTTTGTGGTTTTTCACTCTCTTGAATATCGGATGGCAGCCCTCGTTTGATGGTTGCTTTGCTCCGCTTTTGCCTCGGCTACGAGCCCCTTGCAGTCTGGTCTCCTCTTTCAGCTTTGGCTAACAACATGAAGGCGAGACCCAGTCGGTGGGCCGTGGGATGATATCAAGGAAGATTCCCCGATCCTTGGGTCCGCGTACTAAATACGGCGTCCCTTCATCTCCTTCACCTTGCTTGACCGACTTTCTTCTCGAAATGGCACGGCTAGGTGGAACGCTGTATCTCGAGTTTCGATATTGGGCCTTCGCCTCATTATCATTGAGCCACGAATTCGACTGTCAAGATAGAGATATTGTCTCATTGAGCAGAGTCAGCATTCGTTCGACAATCTGGTTTTTGCACGCTGTTCATCGCTTACAGATGTAATGAGCCATCTGGCGCCATTGATCTGTTCAATTTCCAATGAACAGCAAGTCGAATAACAATGTACACAATTATGGTGGTTAAATAATAGCCCTACTTCATGTCACGCACCCGCCATTTTTGCAATGATGCTTTCAGCTGCCTGTAATGGACAACACTTATCCAAATCAGCTGGTCCAATCCGCAGAAGAACACTCGCCAACGATCTCACGATCACGCTAAACTCCCACATGCCCGGATGAAGTCTGTTGATCAACCAACACAAATCTTCAGTTCAAAGTTATGACTCCAGTTCCGCCTGATCAAGTGCCGTGAAACTCACTGGCTGCATTACGGCATCTAGTGGACGGCACATCTGGACCGCACGGCCCAGTGGAGTACGCCTTCTCGCCTGCGGATACATCCCCTAGTGCTGCAACGGCAATGCTTCGGAAGTGCCACTCTTCGGGCTATGATCGGCCCTTGCCTTGAATCCAGCTTGGCTGACGTTGCATTCCAATTGCATGAAAAATATCGCGGTGTGGCTTTGACCATTAATAGGATTCCGGACATTTTGCAGAACCCGTGATTTATTATGAAAAACCAGGGAGCAAGAGCTGTCGCACATAAGTGCTCTTTGGAATCTTTCCTGTGGAGAGGATAAGCGATACAAGTTTCTCATTCGCAATAGTGGCGGTTAAGGTCTTTAATTCACATGCAGGAGGATTGGTCAAGTATATGTTATCCAAATAGCATTCCCTGAATGCTCTCATGCTGCGACATGTCGAGGTGCCCCAATTTCTTATCGTGTATCGTCAAAAACTGCTCATATGGTTTTAAAGGAAAGCAATGAGTCTCCCCTGAGAACTCGGTTGCTCTTCCGTGTCGAAAGTTTATACTCGAGAGCATATTTTTGGTAAACAGTTACCGCTCTGGAAGATAGAGATGTATCCATGTTGAAAGGCTCCCTTCTGAAGACTATGAGACCTAATTTCGTGTCTGTTCTTATTTTTAGACCACATCAAAGTCAGGTAGCCAATTGGGTCGGTAGAGCTCTTCTCCAATATTGCAGGACGAAGATCGAATAGGAGGAGTCAGATGCAAGTATCAAGATACATAGTGTCAGCTCACTCAAGTCTAATTTTCCACAAACGAAGCCTCCAAGGAATGTCAAACTAGAATCCGACAAGTCGTTAGTATGTATAGACTATGCAATCACATCAGATTGATCGCGACTCTCACTCGAGAACATGGAACTTTTCTTTTGAAACAAGTCGAGGCCATCGCTTTCACTCAATGCGGGATCAAGGGATGAGTTTTCAACCACTGAAACTTCAAGCGAAGGAGGACAGATTATTTAGTCATTCCATTGTCTTTGACCGCTTTGCTCTTAGACACGAGTTTGGCCAATAACATCATCCCCGTCTTCAACCCAGTATGACCAAAGCCAGAATAACCACCCACGCACCGCCCGCCCCCCACAACCGGAGTACCCTAGATCGCCCCTCCGCACTACTCATCTGGTTTCCATTCGCATCAGGCAGAGACGGTGCGTTACGAAAATCATTCGGAGGCACAATGGACGGCAGCGTTTGAAAATTCGGTGGAACAAAGACCGTCACCGGCGTGATGGACTCCGAAGACGGGGCCGAAGAAACCCCGTTAACGGGGGTAACGGATGGCGGCGGGGGAGTAGGTGAGGCTGATGGAGTCTGAACTGCGGGTGGAATGGTCGGCGGGGGTGCAGTTGTTGAGGTAGATGTCTGGATGGCGGGTGGTATAGCAGGCGCTGGGGGAAGGGGTACCGATAACGAGGACGAAGAGGTAGACGACGATGGGAAGGGTTGCGCGGGGGCCAAGTTTGCCGGCAACGTTGTTGTCACGGCTGGGTTCAACACTGGCGGTGGGACTATCGGCGGAGATGAAGTTGTAGTCGTCGAAATCGTCACCGGCGGCGCCGGGACCGGAGCGGCCGGCGCGGCAACGAAGCCGCATTCTCCAATGATTTCTCTGATATCTGCACTCCATCGTTAAAATGATCGCCTCCTTCTCAGAAGACTGAGCCAAGTGAACAGTCTCGACTCTTGCAAGAGGTAAACTCACCCTCATTGGCTTCCACGGCCGTAACGTTCCGCGAAATGCACGACAAACACCCAAACGCAGCCCCGGCAACGTCAAACCCCCTCTCCCCACAAACACACGCCCTCGAAGCATTCTTCGCCGCCGCCTCAGCAGCCTTCTTGGAAGCCTCCTCCGCAGCATCCTCCGCGCTCGCTGAGCGCCCGACGCCCAACGTAGGCACCGCAGCGAAGCCCGACCCCGGAGCCAGACTCGCCGTGGGCTCCTCTTCGTCGTCGCTGCTATCTTCTGACTCCGGCTCCTGTCTCCCGCTGAGTCTCCGACCCAGCATCCTCTGTAGATTCCTCCTCCTTCTCTTCTTACCATCCCCTCTCCATTCTGTCCTTCCCTTGACATCCCTGTCCTTGACCGATCCATCATGGTATTGTCGAATCGGTAGATCCCGCTTGTCCTTCCCGAACTGGGCCTCCACCTGTGCCTCGCACCGCGCCGTAAGCTGTACTATAGGCGCGCAAACCTGAGCGCACTCGGGCGGGACGTCCTCAGCCTCTAGGTCCTCTACTGCCGCAACGCCGGGGACCAACATTAGGCTGGGCAGGTTCGTGGTGACAGACAGCAGCGCGAGGACAGTGGCGAGGTGAAGCGTCGTGGGCCGGTGGTGGCGTGTCATCTCGGCTTCGGCTTCGTCGAATGCATGCAAGGCGTGTAAGCAAATGACTCGTTGGTTGCTGCTAGTGCTTCCGCGTCTTGCTCAAATAGTTATCCAACTCCTTGGTGTCGTAGTCGGAGTTATCGTTGTTCGTCTCGTCTCATGACACCGGGAAATAGCACTGTAAATCTGACAGATGCCATCCAAACTTTTTCGTCAAGTGCCTGCAACTTTGTCCCAACTCTAAATTCGAACAGACCCGCCCTCCGTCCATCAAAGAGAGAAACTCCAGAACGGTCTTTTCCAGATGTAGGTAGGATGGTGAGAGGGGGGGTATTCAAGCTTATTGTAAAAAGAGCAACCCTCCGTCTACCATCCCCCCCACTATCCGACCAACTCATACTGAAATTCGTAAGGTCTCAGTGTGACTGTAATACCTTCTACATGATCTACCCCTCGGAAACATCAGGCCAAACGCCGAAACCCAAGTTGCCCAACCCCTTAGACCACTGCCGGATAAAGCATTCGCAGAGGGCTGTTGAACGCATCCCCATCCCGAAACGTCTTGGCGGTATCACTAGAACCACGAGGAAAAAGGAAACCCACATTTTCCCGATGGACGTTGCCGTAAGCCTGGAAGGCGATTTTAGAGTTCAACCTCGCAGCGGGAAGCATCTGGTAGTTAATATACAGAATTAACCCCTAAATTTGGCAAAAGAGGGTTCGTTGATTGATCGCCTGCTGGGGTTCTTTCCTTACCTAACGCAGGTAAAGAAGCCACAGAAGGACAGAAAAGAACATTGAGAACCCCGCTGCGAGTCATTCCCAGTGCATCGCATCATTTCCCATCTCTTACCGACAAAGTCTAAATAAGCGGCCTCCATCATCGCCAGATCGATAAGGAACTGAAGTTAAGTATCCGTACGGCTGACTTCTCAAGCTATTGAGCTCTCCCCGTCCACGGATTATGCATATCCGACACCCTGCCGAGATTCCGTTCTAGAACCCTTACAAACCACTTACATCGCCGAGCCGGGTGCAAAGAACGGCTCCGACCTGCCATTCCCATCGCCCTTGTCCAGGCTATCGGCCGAGTCATTGCACTCCAGCGGCATGAGACCTTCAAGTCTTGGACTTAGGCAACACGGTATCAACCTGACCCCGGAAGCCACTCTCAGACCTCAGGTTCAACACAGCGCCAAGGTCTACTCATCATGGAAAGCCAAGTCCTCCTCAGTTCGGCGAATGCTTATCGATGCTTAGTCCATCCCGATCCATTTCCTACGCTCCCGACGTCTTGGCTATGAATCCGTCTTGACCAGCTTCGCATGGGCTCAGTCCGTGGCGGAATGTGTTCCCCCCGGCATTCCCGAACCAGTCCCGATGAGGCTCTCGTTGAAGCTGCGACTCTACGAACCAGTCTTGGCTGCTACTCTATACAGCAACGCAAGGCCAACAAGAAAACAAACACAAAGCTGACAAATTCCAAACCACCCCTAGAGGATCGTCTACGGTCGTCAGTCTCGCGCATCACAGGTGACGCGTTCGCCATCCCAGGAGGCGTACGAATACGTAGTTGTATGCATCAGATCTCTCTTCTTGGGTATATTCACTGAGCTATAACAACCTGAATCCTCGCCATCCACATATCCATACATCCACTCGCCCTCCCCATTCCCTTGGCCCTCCCCATGGGATGGGCCTCGCCCGCCGGGGAGTTAACCCCACGTCCCGCCACCACCACCTCCACGACCGCCCTTCCTCTGCGCACTCAGTCTCCAGTCGTCCTCTCCAGCATACTTATTATGCAGCGGCTGGATCCTCTCCGCCTGCTTCCTCTTGGACAACCGATCCGTCGGCGCAACCTTGAAGAACGTGGGCGCCGCGTCCACGAGCCACTTTGGCTCGATGCTCGTCGTGCAGTGCATGTACTCCTTGGTCGTCAGCACAAGCGTGTGGTAAATGACCCACTCGGCCTGCTTTCCAAACAGCGCCGAGCTCGGGTGGAGGTACACCGGCGTCCCCTCGATGAGCGTCTTGTACCCTTCCTGCGGATCCTTGCGCGCCGCGTTGCGGAAGAAGCCAGAGCAGAGCGCCTGCCGCACAATCTGCGTATGCCGCCCGCAACTGACGATGGGGTGTCGGTACCGGTCCATGATCTTGACCAGCTGGTCGTGCACGTCCTTGGCGCGCTTCATCGAACGCGCCTGGATGAAGTTCTCGAAACACCAGGGGCTCGAGTAACTACTTTGCTTCCATGAGTTGTAGACGTTCAGCAGTGTGAGGTGGTCGCCGTGCGGGTCGTGGAATTTGGCCTTCTTCTGGTCTGCTTGCGACTGTTTCTCTTTGGGGCGGTAAAAAACATTGGGGAGATTGAGCATGGCGACAATGATGAGCATCTCTGCTGAGCACTTCATGTCAACGGAGATGATGAGCACCTTGGCCAGAGACGGTTCCATGGGAAAGTCTGCCATCTTTCGTCCCAGACGCGTCAGCAGGCCCTCGTCATCTAGAGCACTGAGCGCATATAGCTCTTCTAACGCTGTAAGCATAGTGTTAATTGGCGGGGGGTCCATAAAGTCAAAGTGCAACAGGTCGTTAATGCCCATGGCCTTGAGCATGAGAATGACGTGCGACAAGTTCTGCCTCTGGATTTCGGGGATGGTTGTAGGCAACATCTCGGACTGGTAGGCCGCTTCGGTGTACAAGCGGAAACACTTTCCAGGTCCTGTACGTCCGGCGCGGCCAGCACGTTGATTTGCCTGGGCTTGCGAAATTGGCGTGACAACCAATGAATCCATGCCCAACTTGGGATCGTAAGCGTTCTGTTTGACGAAACCAGGGTCAACGACGAAGTAAATATTATCGATTGTGATGGATGTTTCGGCAATATTGGTGGCGATGACCACCTTTCGGCAGCCAGGAGGTGCGGGATCGAAAATACGACTCTGCATCTCATTGGGGAGTGCAGAGTACACAGGCAAAATGATGAGCTCTGGGACGTTGGGTCCTAATGCTTTCATCCGCTCATACAGAATCTCAGCCGATGTATCGATTTCTTCCTGACCCGTCAAGAAAAGCAAGATATCTCCAGGCGGTTCGGTAAGGTGAATCTGCATCACGGTGACGAGCGCAGCATCGAGATAGTCAGATTCGGGCTCGCGTGAGTACAGCACCTCGACGGGGAACGTGCGACCAGGAATCGTGAAAATGGGACAGCCGTCGAAATACGAAGAGAACTTGTCGGCGTCGAGCGTTGCCGATGTGGCAATGACCTTGAGATCCTTCCGACGCTTCATCGTCTTCTTCAGAAGCGCAAACAAGACATCCGTAGAAATGGTACGCTCGTGGGCCTCGTCGAGCATGATAACTGAGTAGCGCCTCAGATCGGGATCGACGAGGATTTCACGCTGAAGCATACCATCCGTCATATACTTGATCTTCGTCGCAGGACTGGTCTTGTCCTCGAAACGAATCGTGTAACCGACAGCCTCACCCAGCGGTGTGCCAACTTCTTCGGCCACACGCTTAGCAACGGACATGGCGGCTACACGTCTAGGCTGTGTGCAACCAATGACTCCGTCGTTGGCGAAGCCATCCTCGGCGAGATATTGCGTCAGCTGCGTCGTCTTGCCTGAACCAGTCTCTCCGATAACCACCATGACTTGGTGCTCCCTAACAGCGTCTAAAAACTTCCGCCTAAAGGCGAAGACAGGCAACGACTCTCGTTGATCCTTGATGCTCATGTTCGTCCGCTTGCCAAAAGTCTGGTCCTTTGGCGCCACAGCTCGCTTCCATTCCGGAACAGCGTCGGGCTTGCTCTGGGCCATCTGGGACTTGGCGTTTCGTAGATCGCTGGCGAACTTGCGCTTGTCTGGATCTGCCATCGGGTCGTTCCACTGCGCAGAGAGGTCGACCTTGGAGTCTTCCGCCGCGGCAGCCTCTGCTTCTTGTTGCTTTAGCTCCTTTCGCTCCTTTGCCAACGCAGTGCCCGACATGGCAGCTCTGTTCATAGAGCCATCGGGTGCTTTGACGACTCGAATGGGTGATAGTTCCAATGATTGCTTCGTCTGACCGGCCAGGAATGGCGGTTCCTCCTCTCGAACCTCGATATCGACATCCTGCTCCAGCTCCAATTCTCCATCGCCTGTCAGTGTCGCGTTATAATCTTCTTCGAGGTCGGGGTAATCGGAAGCCTTCGCGACACCGGACGCGATCAGCTGGCGGATCTCCCATCTTTCCGGGGACGTCATGCGCTTCTTCTGCCGGCGAGGCTGATGCTGTGGTGGTGGCATCGGCCCATCGTCAAACATGTTTCCATTCCGGCCGCCGCCGCCGCCACCCAACGCTTGCATATTTGCGCCCGAGGATATCCTGTCTTCCGGGTACAGATCCATGCCCGTCTCTTGGTCCACCTCCTTCATTGACAGTCCTATCCTGTTCCCCTCAATATTGACAACCTTGACTTTGACGTCCTGGCCCTTTTCCAACAGATCTGACGGGTGATTGACCCGCTGACCTTCCACCAGCCTCGAAATGTGTACCAAACCATCCACCTTGCCACGTACGCCATGCAGGTTGACAAAGGCGCCGAAATCCTTGATACCCGTGACATGCCCACTATAAACCTTGTGCAACTGAGGCGCATCGTCGACTTCGGGCTCGGGTGCCCTCCTGAAGCGGCCATCTTCCTCGTCATCGTAGTTGCGTCTCCGACTCCTCTGCTTCAGCGAAGGTCCGCTCTCGTAATCATCGTGCGATCGTGATCTCGACCGGTACTTGTCGCGCTTCCTCCGCTCCCTCGACCTCGACCGACCCCTCCGCTTCCGCCGTGAGTCGCGCCCGTCGTCTGGGCTGCGGCTTCGCTTGCGCGAGTCTGGTTTATCTTTCCGCGCCTTTCCCTCCAACCCTTCCAAAAGCGCTAGCGTATCGTCAATGGCGTCGACGCCGTCACCTGTGCTGTCGTACGCCACCGGCTTGTCGGGCACCGAGAGGCCTCTAAAGATCTCGTCCTTCTCTGC